GGTTGGTGGGAAGTGGGGGGGGGTAGAGTCAAACAAGACAGAGGCGGCCATGATGACAGGGTGGAAGAAAGCCCTCGAACAGGCGCTGGTGGGTTTGGAGGTCTGGAAGTCTCGCTCTGACCTCACTCCATGGAGCTTTTTGTGAAAATGGAACAGCATGATGGACTGAGCAGAGCACCAGTACTGGGTGTAGGACCTGTGGTGTCAGATTCCGGTTCAGAGTCATGCCTTTTATAAAAATATTTATTTTTCTAAAAGAAAGGGTTCTGTGAAACTTGACTATGCGGCCTGTCTCCATGATGCCCTGTCTGAGCTTCCTTTTAATCACATGACTTGCTTCTTCCCATGGTTAATTGCTGGAGACCACTTAAAGGAGACAAACTAACAAGTCAACATCAGAAAGAAGCCCTGGGACGGCCCCATGGTCTGGTGGCTAGGGGAGCTGGATCCCACATCTTTGACCATGGTTCGAATCCCAGTCCTCACTGCTTGATAAAGGGCCGGGCACACGTGTGTGCCCCAAGTCCTGACAGGATGGAGAAATGGGGAAGGGATTGCAGCTTGACCATGCCCTGTGGGGGAGTGCTTTTTCCCCACCCCCACCCCTACCCCCATCTCTCTCTTACAAGCATACTCACTCTTTGGCAATTGAAAAAAAAGAAGAAAAGGAAGCCCTTTGCCTCCACAGGAAGCCTTTGCCTCCACGTCCTCACACAGCAACGTCTTGAAGTGGCGGTCGGAGGAACGCTTCAGTCTCGGTGGGAATGAGTATTAAAGGTGCCTCTAGTTGAACTTCGCCCCCACAGTTCACGTTCTTGGAAGGCTGCAGGGAAGTGAAGTTCTGTAATGGAAGCGTGTTGTAGAGGCACAGGAGAAAGTTGCTTCCAAAGCCACTCCAGCCGTGCCTTTCATAACAATATTTATTTTTCCAAAAAATTGATAATCCCCACTTCTCTGTTCCAAGGTTTGGCTGTAATTTAAAAATTATATATAGGTAAAATCTGCAGACTGACAGCCATGCCATGTGTCTGTGTGTCAGGGATGACTTCGTTTTATGCTATTCCTGCCATCTGAGCTTTAATTTATTGTGACATTTTACAAACACAGGGCAAAAGGGCCAGCAGGTGACATGGTGGTTGGGACACTGGATCCCACATGGCCAACTCTGTGGTTCTAGTCCTGGACCCAGCGGCTTGAAAAATCACAGCAGGCATGTGTGTGTGCATGCCCAAAACCCTGAGAGGAGAATGGAGGAGGAGGGACTGCAGCGTGGCCAGCCCCCCTGGGGGGGGGGTGATTTCTCACTTTCCCTCTCTGTGCTGAGTGTATAGGACCTATGGCAAAAGTCTAAAAAAAACCCCGAAAAACAAAAAAACAGTGACAGCAAAGAAAACAGGGAGGGCATGGATAACTGACACATTACAAAAAGATCACTTTACGAACCACCCAGTGAGGTTGCGACTGGCTATGGGCAGCGCTGTGGAAGCTGTAGGGGCTTTACCCCTGGCCCCAGGTCCGAACTGCCGGCCTGTTGACCCGAAACACCCTGGACGTGACATGTCCCGGATGCGAAGGAGCTGGAGGGCCGTGGAAGGGGCTGTGGCACGATGAGACCCTGTGGAGGGCGATCTCTTCTCTCCCGTGCATGTACTATCCGGAACGAGCATGCTTTCACTTAGAGAAAGAACACCCTCACACCCCGACGCCAGCGTGGACCCTGCTCGGGGCAGCCCTGTGGGGCTGAGCGCTGGAGAGGGGCAGGGGGCCTCCCAGCTCTTGGTCACTGGACTCGGCGTGGCCGTGCCTTCTCTTCCCTTTTCTTTGACTTCCTTGTCTACCTATTTTGTTTAATCACCCAAGTGCGCCATTTCTGGAACATGGAAGGTCCTAAACGTACACAAGCACTCAGCCGGGCCCTCTGCAGCAGAGACCGCACACACCCAGCGCTGGGCTCCCAGGCTCCCGGCTGCCCTCGGTGCTGCAGGGCTGCGTTGGCGCCTGCGGGGCTGCATCCCATGCAGGGCAGGGGCACGGAGTGCTCGGCTCCGTGTGGCTGCTGTACTCGGATTTCTGATGCAGTTTTCAGGGCCCAACACAGACCTGCTCCAATTGTACGGAGTGGTTGGTTAACTGTTTTTAAAGAAATGTGTGTATTTATTTCTGCCATGAGAGAGAGAGAGAGAGATGCCCCCGCCAGTACTCACTCCACAACCCATCCCCGCCTCC